GTCTTGCGTAGCACCCTGTATATAGGGTAAAGGCGGGCATTATGGCCAGGCGGGTAATATGGCCACAACGCCCGTATTAAATATTCTAAACATTGATAAACATCGATAATGTATAAAAACCAATTATTGTAGCTATTCTTGAAGTTTGGTAACAAAAACCTCTCTATTTTATTGTTATTTGTGGTTTGGTGCTTCATTGTTCTCCATAACCATCAAAATATACACGTCAAAGTGAGACATGGCACTTCCAACTAAGTAAGATTTTCAAATTAAAACAAAATAATTTTGGCTTTTCTCATTACACATTTCAAAACCTGAACCTTGGCTATATTTTTATAATAAAATCGTGCTTTGCCCATTATTTTGATAATTATAATGGACATTATTAAATGTATGCTCGGCGGCTAATATGGCCAGCGAGTACAACAGAGTGTAGAGTACGCCAGTGCTGAGAGTGATAACAGTGAAGAAAGAAAATAGTTATTTCTCACAATTTATTAATAAATTGTGAGAGCACTGCGTTACGTAGAGAGAGTGGACATACACATACACATTTCTTAAACGTGTACTCGTATGTTTAAAATATTTCAAAGTTTATGTTCTGTACGATTAAAGTAATACTTTACGATTAAAGTAAATACCTCACTTGTGCAAAATATTACTGTTTCGTACACTTTTTTTATAGTTGGCCATATTATCCACCCCACGTTTAATATGTCCAAAACGCATACTTTCAGATTCTTTTTTTTCTTCGAATATGGATAGATTTTAATTGATCAAAACATTTTGTCATCAAAGCTTATTAAATACACTAGAATTTCAGAAAGTTACAAAATAAAAACCAGCGGTTTGAAAATTATGATCTCAAATCAAAACTATGGCCATAATACCAGCCTTTACCCTACAGAAATTTTCTGAGCTAAGATTGGAATAATTCAATTTCAGCACTTTCAACAATTGTAAAAAGTATTCGGCTAAACGCAACCAATGTTAACTCAATATAATTTAACAATGTTTTCTGACTGCTGAATTGTAACGTTTACAAGACGTTACAATTCAGTGGACATTAGACGTTTTTGCAATATTTTTTCAACGTTGAATCTACATTTCGTAACATTGATGCAATATTGCAATGTTGTTATGGAACGTTTCTGAGATGTTGATTCAATATTTGTGTGCTGTATAGGGATGTAGTATACATTTTATTAATAGAATGTATGGTAAAATTTAAAAAAACTTTCATAAAGTTCATCAAAATGTCATACTGTCCCATGATTACATGATTTTCAGGGTATATTTTAAAAGAAAACTCTTTCCGTGTATGAATAAGTGTCTGCGGTAAATCACGACTTTATTTTCGTCTTCTTATTTCTAATATTTATTTTTCCCATAGTTTTTCGACCGATTGGATGGCTATGACCATGTAGTTGCGCGAGTAAAAAGCAAAAGAAAGGACAATTTATGGATACCCTGGATTTTTGTCTTTTTACTACCCTTCGTTAGTCTATTACTTATATACACAATGTATACGAAGTTAGCGCACCACACGGCCTATTTCCACCTCGCACTGTCAAATATTTATATGACGATCATACAAATGTGTAGTTTTCTGGAAAAATTTATCTTGTTGTACCTCCTATTGGAACGCTTCAAACATCTGAATAGAAATATTGCGGAGAATGTGTCGTGGGATGAAGAGCGACGCACCGAACCAAATGCAATAAAAATTTCGGATGTAAAAATTATGCATTCGATGCTTTATAACGCTCATGAAACCTTCAAGGATATTTACAGAGTCCCTCTATTGTTTTCGTTTACATATCTCATGATGTGCATTGTTGCAAATCTGAGTTACTTTCGAAAGGAAAGCATATTAATAGGTTGTTCATTCGTCCTTCCTCCGCTGATACTAATGTTAATTATGTGTACAATTTGTCATTTAACAGCGGAAGAGGTGAGGTTTTAAATTTTTTTATCTATAAATTTCTCTTTGGATAACTTAAGTTTATTTACTTACGTTTATTAAAAGAATCATTATTATTATGCAAATGGTATATTTCAGGCAAATAACATCGCGTGTGTTTTAAGCAAAAGTATGACAATGCTTGTTAATTCGGGAAAAACTACGGTGATTATCTAAGGATAAAGGACTGGTACTTATGGAAATTTATGGAATAGATTCTAATCGGGGAATTGTTCAATTATCTCTTATATTTCTATCGCGTTTTCTAACTACGATCGGAATCCATTCCAAACATTTCCATGATAGATATTCCGTTGTGTACCTTTAACATATTTTCACGTTTTAGACTAAAATTGCTGCCTTAACATATTTCTTACACAACTACGTGTCTTTCGACGCCGCAGGATTTTTCACAATTGACTTACCTTTATTTCAATCCGTAAGTAACATTTTAAATTAATTCATTATTATTTCTAACTTTTAATAAAGAAATTTATTTAACATATATTCAAAGTAAATATTAATTTAGATTAGTTTGTCTGAAAATTAGTAAATGAATATTATCTACGGAGAGAATAATGTTATAAGAGAAACTCCACTAAAAATTTAAAACTAAATTCTTTTTACTGAATTATTTGCAGGTTGTTGCGACAATAACTACTTATTTCATAATACTATTTTAATCTTTTTTTTTGCTAAAACGTTTCTATATCTACATATTTTGACACAAACAATTGATTGAAATAATATAATTATTTTAATAAAAGTTTCATGGTGTGTCTATATAATGTACATGCAAAAGTATGTAGTATGTTTAATCAGTAGCCTCTAATATAAAAACCGACGAATTGATGGTATCGCGTTGACATAGATTTCGAACAAGCTTAATGTATGTTTCTATTATATAACAAAATCATGACTCGTTATCAAGTATATCGACGTTGACACGAGCGTTGCGTGATTCGACGATGTGGAACAGAAACGGTAACACACGACACGTATCTGTAAGTAGACAAATGACGGTTGTCACTTTTTCATTAGCTGACATTTCGCAAATGGATAAGCAACATTATGAATAGGTACGTACGTGATTCGGCGATTATCATGGTCTCCGGTACTTTGTCACGATCTTAATGTTCGTTTTATCAAACCGATTGCATCGGGAAGTTATATGTGCGTAACGGCAAAACGCGATTTGGCAAAAGTATAAAAAAAGAGAAAAATTGAAGTTGACAATGTCTAAAATTCAGTCGCTTGGCGCGCACTGAGAAAAAAGTCTTTGAAAATTTATTCGTGGTATATAATGTTTATTCCATTGAAATAAACATTATATGCCACGAATAAATTTTCAAAGATTATTTTCTCAATGTGATGGCGATTGTGCGGTTATTATACAAATCGAGAAGCTTCGTTCTATATACATTGTATATTTATTTTATAATACCTTTACAATAAATATATTTCTTCTATTAAACAAAATTTGTTGAAAACAGTTACCTTAATGAAAATCGATATCGACGAAATCAATTTAAAAAAATGCCTTTCCGAAATCAGAACAAAGCTTTGTGTATAATTTCGTGTAAATTCGTGAACGGCCGATTAAAATCAAGCATGATTGTGTCAGTACTTTGTCACAGTCTTAATATAATGTTCGTTTTATCAAGCCGATTGCATCGGAAAGTATGTGCGTAACGACAAAACGCGATTTGGCAGCAGTATAAAAAGATATAAAAATCCAAGCTGACAATGTCGAAAATTCAGTCGCTTGGTGTAATAACGATCGGGCGGTCGTCATACAAGTCGCGTAGCTTCGCCCAACACATTAATACCTTTAAAATAAATATATTTCTTCCATTAAACAAAACTTATCGAAAGCAGTTCCCTTATCGATAATCAATATCGACGAATTCAATACGACAAAATGCCCTTCCGAAATCTGAAGCTCTTAATAATACTTAACAAAACATTCGGTATGATTTCGTGCAAATTGGTAAATGGCCGATTAAAATCAAGCAGTGCTTGGAGTCGTTGTTTCTGTGTAATGTGGATTTTGTTTCATTGTTTATATACGGGTAGCTTTTACTATCTGATGTACATACTCGCAGCACCTGAAAAAGATATAAAGGGCTTTTGCCTTATCATCCTACGGTCCAGTGCCTTTTTTGTTTCTTTGATCCCTTACAATTTCGTGGCGGCCGTTTGGAGCGAAGATTTCGTTAAGGTAAACGTGTTTTCGATTTTATACACAGACACAAATTTTATTACAATAAAGTAGAGAATGCCCTTTTTTAATGTAATTGCACAGAGAGAATTTTCTTTTAAAATTTATCCTGAAAATCATGTGATCGAGGGAGAACGTGGCGTTTTGAACAACTTTATAAAAGTTTTTTGAAACTTTACCATACATTTTACTAGTAAGTATACTTATTGTTAGTATACATTTTATTAGTAGAATGTATGGTGAAACTTCAAAAAACTTTCATAAAATTCTTTGAAATGCCGTTTTGTCTCACAATTAGAGGAAAATCCTCTATTATGAGATAGGATTCTAATGTAAGATAGTAGGTTTTCAACGTCCAAATTCAATCGCAAATCTTTTTTTGCGACGATTACACGATGTAACAATCAATTTTTCACTAAACAGATTTCACTCCAAGGGCAATAACTTCATAATAGAACCAACAGATGGTGCTTATTAATTTAGCAGAAACTAA